CGTGGTTTTTTATTTTGATAATAATGATATTATAATCTGAACAATAAAATTTGAATAGCACTTAAGACTGAATGTCATAATTTGTTAGTACTATGTAGTCATTTAATAAATAATCACGCTGTTTTAACTTGCATTTTACATCATCGAATGATTTCGGTTATTCAGCCATTGAAAATTTATTTTGTTTTGATAGGGTACTTCTTGAGAACTTTTCATCTATGACTCAAAAACGTATTGCACGTGTGACTTTCCAAACTTTAATTAATATTTCTTTGATGTAAGTGAAACAGTTTCTCGAAAACAAACATCATATACTCGTACTATTTTGTGTTATATTGACAGATTGAAAGTTCTATTATGAAAACAAATAGTACTTTATTGTTATTTCATATATTATTTCAACATAACCGTCCATTTTTATACTATTGAACGTAATAATTACAGGATTGTACGAGTTTTCAATAGGTATTCCGGGTGAAAGCTTATCTTGACTTCGTAATTCAGATCTTCTTGAGTTGGTCTTTCAAAGCTAAAGGTACTAGGTTATGTTCGCATTGTGAATATTAACACTGGGATACAGCCACATCCAGCTGTTAAATCCCGAATAGCATAAACATGCGTTCTGGATTACACTATCGACCACTATTCATTCAATCTATATTAATTAGTCCAAACAGTTTAATCATTTATCGGGATATATTATTCTCAATCCAAATTAAAGGAATCTTGGATGTTGAAAATATTTATTTCTTGAACAGACAATGCTTTTTTCCTGATAATTTGTTCTTAGATTTGTCTTCTTAAGCTTAACAATGCTATCCATATCATAAGCATAAATAAATATACTCAGGTGACAGTTGAATTTCAAAGATCGATACTCTTTAGGACTTAACTTCTAAACAACCAATCAATAAAAAATATTTAAAAGACTCCTAGGTCTAATGCTGTTTGTCGTATATGTGATAGAACCCAGAATCTCCGGGCATCAGGGGGATAGCTTAGTTTTGTAAAATTGGAGTTGGCATTTAATGTCTGACATTTCAATCTTGATTTTTATTGTGACATTCAGAGCTTATCACCCATTATCATTTGTGATACCTGTTTTATGCCCGAGATAGTTACACTCCTCTGGTTAAGGTCTCTCAGTCAAACTTGGAGAATTTCTTCTGGACATTAAAGTCAACTAAATTTAGAAATGTAAGTCATTTGACACTAATCTGGCTATCTGACCATTAAACCTTAGCCTTAAAGCTTGATGCTTGTGGCTGTAATTTCAAATGAGTTCGTGATTGGGAGTCACTAAATGTCCCGTACTTTCGAAAAATGACTACTCAGTATCTCCAAATTCCCAATGATTGCCTAGTTAAGATCATTTTTGTAGTAAAATTTCAAAGATATGGAATAATTTGACTTAAAGAATTTCTTAGCACTTGACAAATGGTAATAAAGATTATTTCTCAAAGCAAAAAATCCCTATACTATAAAACACGTAAATATGCATCCTATTTAATCACTATAGTGCACGGTTACTTACATAGAATACTAAATGGATAAGAAAATATCCATGTAGCAACACACAGTCTTAATTAATAATAAGGTATTACTACGTTTATAAAATAAGAAATAGTAATCAATAAAATTCAACAACCTCAAAGGCCTTGGAATAAATAGATTTTACTAAGGTATTCATTTTATTGAATTTTTAAAACTTATCAGCCGTTGGATGCCGGCTCAGTGGTCTATCGGTTAAGTGCTCCGGCGCGAGACTAGTAAGTCCTGGGTTCGAATCTCGCGAGTGCAGGATCGTGGATGCGCACTGCTGAGGAGTCCTATAATAGGACGAAACGGCCATCCAGTGATTCGAGGCTTCCCATGATGATCTAGCTTCAATTGACTCACACTTTCAACTAAATATGTATCATTTGTATATGAAATAAAAGACTGAACTGAACAGATGATAGATTTTTATGACAGAAGTAATTACAGTACAGTTATGATTGAATATCTTTAGTAAACTGTTATTCAAATTTTCACATGCGTAAAGCAATTAACTTTGAACTTCAGTAATAAAATCTTTTTACAGATTACATAACATAAACAATTCTAGATATTTCATGCAATTGGTTCCCTTTATGAATTTAAATAAAGCAAGAACAAACATTGATGCAGAATAGTATGAATTCATATTATTTCGAGGTTTCTCGTCAGCTGCTTACAAACCAAAATTGTGATAGAATTTTTACATGAAGATAGTGTGAAACAATTGACTATTGATAATTTTAAACGCGCACATAATATCGACGGTATGCCCGGTGTCAAGTAGATGCCGAGCTATTGCGCTGTTAAAAGCTTTAGTCCCTCGCAGCGCAATAGCTCGGCATCTACTTGACACCGGGCATACCGTCGATATTATGTGCGCGTTTAAAATTATCAATAGACAAAGAACCACCACCACTCTCCGCTTTGCTGAAGCCATTGCAATTAAGAAACTGAAACCGGACTTATGCATCCAAAAAGAGACTTTAATAAACTTATCACTACCCTGGTAATCCTTTTGTTTCTGTTTGTTTTGTGTTTTGGTTATTTTATTCATTTACTTATTCTAAGATAATTTTACACTCCCCCCCCTATTGCCTAATTCTTAAAATAAATTTTATTCACACATTTCCACCACCTGATCCTCTTAAATCATCTTAACTTTCCAAACCCTATTTAATTATTATTACGTAATCTACCTTATCATTAGTCAATTCCATTAATCTCTACAATTATCACACAATTTATGAACTTCACTAAATTATTACACCACCCACCCTGGATTAACCTCCCTCTTTTGACCTCTGACCTGTTTCTACCATATATATATAGTTATTTTTGTAATCACGTTATTTACACTCATTTATGTCAATTGTTTCACACTATCTTCATGTAAAAATTCTATCACAATTTTGGTTTGTAAGCAGCTGACGAGAAACCTCGAAATAATATGAATTCATACTATTCTGCATCAATGTTTGTTCTTGCTTTATTTAAATTCTAGATATTATCAGATAGGTGGTTTTGTGGATATTGTAGTAATTTAATAGTTCGGTTCATGAGTCAATTGTTGTGAGATAATAACTCACTGAAGACAATGGTCGACGGTGGTGCAATGTCGTGAATTGGTTGAAGTAAGACACTAACACTATTGAATGCAGGCTCAGTGATCTAGAGGTTAAGCGCTCACGCGCGACACTGATAGGCCCTGAGTTCGAATCTCGAAAGGCAAGGTCATGGATGCGCATTGCTGAAGAGTCCCATACTAGGACAATACTGATGTCCATTGCTTCTAGGTTTTCCATGTTGGTCTAGCTTCAGTTGACTAATGAACTCAACTATTAAATTCCAAATATATATGATTAGTCATAGACAATCTTTTTTTGTGAATACAGACCATTTTTAATACAGTTCAAATGATTTGATTCCCAAGAGACAAATTCTTCACATATTTTTATCCATGTTCTTTGAAGATTACTGAAGTTTACTTAGCATTACTGGATGACTAATTTTATGTTGTTCAATATTATAAATTAATTAATGAGAAAATTTTAGTTACTCGATTCATATATATATATATATACATATATATATATATATATATATATATATATATATATATGTCGGTCTTGATTATGTAATCATTATGTTATTAAGCCTAAGGGATTGAATCTATCCTTTGATGATGATACAATTTTCATGATTTAGTCAACACCTTTGTTAATGTAACTGTTATTAACTTAGTCAAAACACAAAAGTTCTCCAAACATAGAAGAAGATATAAAGAGAAAATGAAGTAAAGGATGATATATATATATATATATGGAAGTGAATGTTATGATTTGCATTTAGAACTGTTTAGAATTTATTAGCTGGGTTCATTTGCATCCATTGTTGATATATACACTGAATGTTCAACATTTTCGACTATCAAAAATCGGAAATTTCTACCATATTTCATTCTCGTATAACATTTTAGACTCAATAGATCGGTGGATCCTAATGTAGCCGGTTTATGTTCCAAGGTGAACATTAATATGGAGATGTAGATACATACGGCTGATAGGTTTCAAATCAAACAAGAAGAGTTTTCTGGAGTTTATCACTGGTCACAGAATGAATATGTTTAAGTTTTTTGACATAACTGAATTTTAAGGCGGCCTGGCTAGGATACACGTATGACAACAAACATTGAAGAGTTACAATCCTGAATATCAATAACAGTGCATTACAAATGCTTACCAATAATATATTTGGTTAGATAATTTTTTAGGTTCTGTATAGATAGGGAACAGATTTCACACTGGATCAACATCAGTTGATGAATCATTGAGAAACAGGTAGTAGCTGTCCCTATATGATTTTTGCACTATTCAACAAAGTGAACACTAGATCCCATATAGGATTGCATGAAAGATATCCAGGGTTCATGTATTATGTCATATTGAAAGTTAAATGCGGTTAACATTCTTTAAAATCTATGGTCAAACATGTTTTTTATGAGTAAATAATTTACAAGTTAACAAATAAAATAATATTATGCCAGAATTCAAACAAACAATTCCATTTAAGACAATCGATTCAATAGTAAGATCAATTTTATTTCATCGAAGTACCTCTGAAAACGTAAGAACTATGAACAATCAACTCATTTTAATACGTAACTCTTCAATTGATGTCATTCTGTAATACAAATCAACTCCAACCATAAATTTTTACAATACAAGTAGAAATTATCAGAAGGGGTTTGGGAGAGATTTGAGTAATTTTTATAGAGTTGAGATCATGAGTCAATTGAAGCTAGATCACCATCGAAAACCTGGAAGCACTGGACGGTCGTTTAATCTTATTATGGGACTCCTCAGCAGTGCTCATCCACAAGTAGAAATTATTAAGATCAATTTTAAAATCAAAATGACATTATATATCAATCATTTTCAACAATTAAATCATTATGGACTTACTTTTGGTTTCTTCCTTAAATAAATAAAAACACCATCAGCGGAAATTTTAATTAAAACCTTTTGTTTCTTGATACCTTTTTCTTTGAATTCATACTATGAGATTGAAAAGAGAAATTAATACCAAAAGAAAAACGTCATTCTTGATTATGCTTACTTTTAATTGTAAATAAAGTACAAATAATTTAAGAATATTATTACTAATATTAGGATATTTAACTGGATCTTCTATACTGTAGTGAACGAGGAAGCGATTGGTGACAATGGAATATATTTGAGCACAGAATTACAGAACATCTTAGTAAAATTTGAGAACCATACAATAGATTCTTCATTTGCAAAATGTCAATCAATCATCTGAGATATCATTGTTCCTTTGTTTCCACGTCAATCATTCTCTGTTCTCGTTCTTTTTTCATCTATCTTAACCTTCCGCCTCCAGGTATTTTACTTTCTATTGATGATACATATTGCTTATATCTGTCCACATCAGTAACACGCACCAAACATGATCTTAGCTCAGAGAGCCGAGAAGCGACTTTTATTTAAATAATCGTATTGTGGTGTGAGTAACACACACACACACACTAAAAACGTTGAGGCTAACCTCAACCAACAGATCGGATTAGGAAATGAATATGATTGCCTTTCAGTCCTGTAATTTAGATGCATCGTGTTTGAGATAACATCTGAAAGTTTATTACTTAGTTCAATGTAGAAATGTATGTTTATCCTAACTAGAAAGTATTGAACAAGAGCAGAACAAACTGATCAGCACTCAATGATCAGTAATGTTAACAAATTAATTTCAGTCTGCTAAACTGTTGACTGATAACTTATCGGAAGGGGGTTTTGTGGAGATTTTAGTAATTTTTTATGGTTGAAATCATGAGTCAATTGAAGCTAGACCACCATGGAAATCGTTGGATAATTGGACGGTCGTTTCGTTCTGTTGTGAGACTCTTCAGCAGTGCGCATCCACGATTTCGCCTCGTGAGATTCGAACACAGGGTCTATCAGTCTCTTCACCTCTAGACCACTGAGCCGGCATCCTAGTGAGAATCAGTGACCAGTGGAGTTCAACAGGGTCCATTGTGAGATAGCGACTCACTGAAGATGTTATATATAGAGCTTTGGTTCTTTCTGTGCCACGTGCTACTAGACTACTTGAACGATAGAACCCCCCCCCAAGACAGAAGACTAGTAAGTAGGAACTTTCATTCCCCAAAACAGTGTCAAAATATAGTACAGAAATCTCATGTATTTATAGTTATTGGCTGAATGTAAATCATCCTTTCGGTCAACCAATAAGCACATAGGGGTCATTCTTATCCATCCAATGGGGAAGCTACACGTCGACATTCTAGAATATTCCCCTAGCAGTGATTGAATGGAAAGTCTGCGTCCCTTTCTCAGCTTCTTAAGGCTTCCTAGAGTTTACCGACGAGCCGTCCTTACAAAAAACAATGCTGGACGGTTGCTAAATTTCGTGTACTGACAACTTAGTTTAATTGTGTTTGAATCTAAAAAAAACATGCCATTATCGAAATAAATTTACATGCACTTATTATACCATAAGTATTTCTAGAAATGTTCAGTGGATTCAATTCTGTTACTTATTAATTTATAGATTGGAATAAGCACAAAGTTGAAAAATTACAAATAATATATAATGCTTCACTTTAATTTCAAGTGATTTATCATTACCAAACGTGTTTTTAAGCATAAGTCGCCACTCATCGAATTTATACTGACTGCCTCTACCATTACAATCATGAAAAAAATGGCAGCCTAAATATTTATTTTAAATTAGTCAATTCTAAGTTATGACAGTAGTACAAATAAATTTCAATAAAATGTCATAACCAATTATCGGCTGATTGTTTTAAGAAATATAACTGATTCAATTATTTATTTATTTTGAAGAAGTGGCTTAAATTAAGTCACGAAACGTCAGGAATACGATTTTTTTTTTGCTCATTGGGGTATAACGAAAAAATATTTATTATTAACTTTCTACCTAATGCTCAATTTATTTGAAACTATCAAGTTCAACCTTGGTATTGATATTTGTGATTGTGTATAATTTTAGGAGTAATAATTATAGGTATTCTTCTCAACTCTTTACCATGGTTCATATTATATTCTTTGTTTGAATCATAGTATAAATTTTGTTTTGCGACAACACTTGATGTTTTCAGACATAATAGAAATAAACTGAACCGGCATCTAGAATCTTCATTAATTTTATATAGTTGAGTTCATTAGTCAATTGAAGCTAGACTACCATGGAAAACCTCAAAGCACTGGATGACCGTTTCGTTCTGTTGTGGGACTCCTCAGCAATGCGCAACCACGATCACGCCTCACGAGATTCGAACCCAGGACCTACCAGTTTTGACCTAGAGCACTTAATCGATAGACCACTGAGCCGGCGACGCGGGGTCGTGGACGTGCATTGCTGACGGAGTCCCACAATAGTGGTTATTTACTGATCGTACCAATAACCTGTTTGATATAGTAGGCAATGTCCTAATTTATTCGATATTTTCTTCAACCTCTTATGGATACCGGTTTTGTCCTTGATCTCAAATAAACTGAAGGCTCACATTAATAATTCGGTCTCCTGAATAGCCATCATTTGGTCACACTGCATGATAATATATAATCTATCTATCGGTATTCTATTCATTTATTTTTATAGTTACAGCCCTCATTCATATAGCAAATATTATTTATCCACATTTACAGTGAATTAACAATGAAATCTTCAATTGCATGGTAATATATGGAATATTTTCATGGTCATTACGAAGTGTCACTAACGTGGCTTATTCATTAACTTTTAATTTCAAAACTATGTAACGTGTAGTCTTTAATAGATGTACCGTAGTGAATGAGAACACAGGTGGGGACAACCAAATGTATTTTAATATAACATTACATAATATAAGTAGTAGTATATATCACCAATCGAAAATGGAATACCTGGCAACAGAAGGTTGAGAAAATCGAAGAGAACAGTACGAGAACAGAGAGTGATTGGTATGGAAACAAAGAAACAACAACTTCCGAGATAAATGATGAATATTTTGTAAATGAAGTGTTTACTGTATGCTTCTCAGATGTAACCAAGATATTCTGTAATGTTTGATTAGAATACATTTAGTTATCCCCGCATTTTTACTCATTCACCACAGTACAACTTCTATATAAACATTTTCGCTAAAGAAAATATAACAAGTTACTTCTGAAAGCGTAGTATTATTTTACAATAAGCTATCATTGAAATGATATATATATTCATTGAAATACTTTTATTTATTTATTCAGCAGATATCCATTTTTATAATAAATAGTAGGAGTGTAATTGGATAGAAAGAAATTAGATACATATTCATTAAACTCTACTTCTTTTCAGTTTTGATATTTCACGATTTTAATCAGGAGTAGTTTTGTGAAGATTTAGTATTTTCATAGTTGAAATCGTTAGTCAATTGAAGCTAGACCACCAAGAAAAACGTGGAAGCATTGAACGGCCGTTTCGTTCTATTGCGGGATTCCACGACCTCGCCTCACGAGTTAGACATAAACACCATCGGATGCCGGCCCAGTAGTCTATTGGTTAAGTGCTCTGGCGCGAGACTGGTAGGCCTGGGTTTGAATATCGTGAGGCGAGATCGCGGATGTGCACTGTTGAGGAGTCCCACAATAGAACAAAACGGCTGTCCAGTGATTCCAGGTTTTCCTTGGTGGTCTAGCTTCAACTGACTCACGCTTTCAACTATTTCATGATTTAATCAGATCTTCCTGACTGAAAATTATTCATAAATTTTAAGTAACCATTAGTTTGTAGATCTGTTTTAAACCTCATTTTAGAACATATTTAAAGTGCAAAGTAAATCTTCAGTGACATACTGTCCATGATATCACAAATAAATTGTATTTTTTATTTACATATCCAGTTGTTGTACACAGAATTAACTGAACAACTATTCAGATAATTTTAATGTAAACATATACAAAAATATACAGTGAGTTATACCTTAGTAATGACTAGTATCATGTTTTTCTAGTTCTCTATAGTTGATTGAATTCTGTTGTTCCTTTCGCATACCATATGATTAACAGTCTACGTGAATCAACCTTCATACATTATATTTTGATATGAGGTTGTTAGAGGTGGTCAGTGATAAACCCTGTTTGATATAGGTTTCACGCCAGTTGGCACTCATCAACAAGGTGTACTTGAAGTCTTAAAGGCACAGACAGTTCTTGTGTGATTTGAATCAGAATCCACATTACTCACTAATACTGCTCATGTTGAAACCTGATTGGTAAGATCCTATCATCTCTAAATGTTAGATGAACATGATATTAACAACTACTCGATGATCATTCAATGTAAATAATCCAATCCTACATGATTTCGATTGCTCACCTAACGCATCCGATTCCTTAAGATTATAAACACGTCTTGATGACAAGTACAAACTAAAACGAAATCGAGGTTTCAGGATTTCCTAACAATTTCATTCACTTAATATCAACACACAAATGTCGTAATCATTTTCTTATTTTTTAAAATAAAAATATACGTTTCTAAAAACTCGTAGTTTCAAGATTTTCAAATGATTTTCCCTACAATAATGGCGCCTTAATTTGAAAACAATTCATGAATAATCTTCAATACAACAAATTAGTTTCTAAGCGAAAACAAAAAAAATTCTTTTTTTTCAACTTTTCTTACCATTGAATTCATTCATAAGTTTTTATCACTTTATATAAATCTCTTCTTTAAGTTTATATTGGGATTATTCCATTTATATCAAAATGGCATACCTAACTCATCAAATATACTTTTAAATTTATTCAATTGAAGAAATGGCTCCAAAATTTATTACTAAATTAAGTAATTTCATTTTTAAAGATTTTCATTTCAAAGTTAGTTATATAACCATATTGAATAATGATGTATATGACATTTTAAGGACTTTTGTCTATTACCAACTGATATCATCAATATGCATAGTATGCACGTATGGCCAATAAGACACTGATCAATCGCAGTTCGAAACATTTAAACTTCACCACAT